TTTTATTTTATTATTAAGTAATAATGGTAATTTTAATCAATTAAAGCAATTGATTGTTATATCGAGTTCTTAGGTTTTCGCGATTGTTACGCATAGGAAATGAAACTACTTTTCCGGATTCAAATCTCGTGTATTTGTTTTTTCAAACAAACCGACGTTTCGGGCCCTTTGCAGATCCCATGGCCATGGTTGACTGAGGTGGTACAGTCATCAACCAGTTATGTCTAATATTAATACAAACCACCCTATATTTCCACTATGATTACAAAAGTTATTAATTAAATACCTTATTTTAAAATTTTCAAAGACTCATTCCAATATTTTAAATATAAAAAATTATTTTATTTAACCATATGAATTTTTATTAAGTTAAATTTATTATTAATTTATAAAAGAAATTAGAATAAATTAAAACATTTAATTAGTACTGCAGTCTTATGTCTGTTTGGGATTTTTCATCGGAAGAAATACTGGATCCCAGGTCCCTGTTGAAAGTAGGATGTTTTTTAATTTCAATGGCCTCTCGCAGCATCCTGGGTAGATAACGGACTTCTTTTGCAAGGACCAGCGGTTTGTCAAACTTTATTGAATGTGTAAGTTTATCCATGACATGCTCACAGACAGACTTGTTTATGCGACGATGTTTAACAGCAGTTATATGTCCTTTGTCGCGGGTACGAATACTTCGCTTCGTTTGTCCAATATAAGAGAGACCGTATTCACAGGCAAGCTTGTAAAGGACCCGAAACGTTGGTTTGTTTGAATAAACAAATATACGCGATTTAAATCGGAAAAATTAGTTTCATTTCCAATTAATTGTTCTTTTTAAATATTCATTAATTACTTACTTCCTTTGTTCCGCAGCTACAAACTATTAAGGTACACGGATATGTCGCAAGGACCCCGACCTGAGAGTTATAAAGAAGACGTCGATTGCGCCAAGTAAGTTACACTGACACTTTAGCACATTGTTTTTAACCACTATGTATAATATTTATTAACGACGTGTCATTGTTGTGTCGTCCTCTGCGATACAGGCCAGACTCTACCACGCTATCACAATTACGTCAACTGCAACTATAAACTTAATTAGGGAGCCACCGAACTCATCGACACGGAATCATATTAAGCCCGCCAGAAACAGCTTTATATCCATGTAATAATAGCGAAAATGATGTTGCGGGTTTTCTCTGTCATTGCTTAAACTTTAAGTTTTTCCGAATCGACTCAAGACGATAACGCGTTAATTAATATTCACCATTTTAATACTCCCTTAAATGGAAACTGATTATAGTATAGAGATAGAAACTTTTAAACTTTATAAGACAGATAGAAACTTTTTAAACAGATAAGAACTTTTATGCAGATAACAGATAATAACTATATTATAGATAGACAGTTTTAGACAAGTAAAAACTTAATAATACACAAAGTAACCTTCATAATACATACGCATAATACAAGTTGCAAACAGTTAACCGATTTTCTTTTTATTAAACATTACGGATCTAATAGCGTTGTCAGATTAACACTTAAGGTTTATTATGTGATATTTTCTCTATAATAAAAATGGCAACACACAACACTGTCTCACCCTCGAGTTAATAACCCTTTAGCCTTAATAAAGGGCCTTATAGTTGACGACCTCGGTGGCCCAACCGTTTGCGCTGTAAGCGTTGAATGACGAGTTCTCGGTTTCAATTCCCGGCTGGGAATTAACTTTTTAAATTGGTCCTGAATAGTGTCTCGATCGTTCGATCGTTTACATCTTATTATGACTTTTGATCGAATGAATGAAAGACGTGATGTATCGCGTTGTAGACGAGAGTGGTTGGTATTGCAGCTATCGCTCGTTACCCCCGCGGATCATAGGAAAATCATCTTGTGATGTCATTGCGCTGGTTACCGTAGGGGCGCATCCCTCGCCGCCGCCGTCAGGTGGCGTGTTTTCAACACAATATAATTAAAATGGTTGAATGTAACTTTTTTATAAACAAAAACCGACTTCTAAAGTTCGTGGAATTTCACCTATTTGCCAAGTTTTATAGAAATGGTGACCGGAAAGTACGCGAAACCGGATTCATCCCCTAGTATGCCACCTTTAGAGGTGGAATATTTTATTCAAATTTAAATAGGATTAACACTGAGGCACCACCCTCTTTCCAACAAAAAGTAATAATCAAAATCGGTTCACTAATGTAAATGTAGTAATTGCGTAGCCGTACACACACAAACCTACAGTCGAATTGAGAACCTCCTTAAATCGATTGAAGTCGGTTAAAAATATGTTTCATCATTATTATCGCATTTAGAGGTTTCGCGTTAATTAATAGTATTTATTTCAAATACTTTTATTACAAGGTGTTGCAAGCATCACCTTTGCATCTCAAATTGTTACTTAGCAATAAGGCAACCTGCTGTACTGTCTGCAAAGTCGACGTTTAACAACCTTGTGGGCTATTTTGCACGGGGCGACCAGTAGCGGGCAGCCGTTTGTCACTCAATGCATTCAAGGGCTAGGTCATTTTATTTTTGTAAATAAACCGTGCCCTTGGTATAATAAAGCCACATGTCAACAACACATGTTATTCATACGTCTAATGTGCCTTTATCAAATGAAACTCGTAAAATTATTTTTATTATTACTTAACTACTTTAAACGAATTATGTATATGTGAAATTTTATAACTGTTACATTAAAAGTTATCGATTAATTTTCTTCGTAGAATCTTTAACTTCCTACCTTACATCTGTTCTGAGAACCCGCGTTTAAAATGGCAACACTAAAGTAAATTAATGACTTCTCTTGAGAATGTAGGATCCACAAAAAAAATAACACGGGACGTCATCTGTCACTTTTAAGGAAGAATGTTTAATTTTGGTTGAATTCGATTTTTTTTAATAAATGTGGAAGTGTATTTATGAAATTTATTTCATTTTTAATTAAAAATAACTAACAGCTCAAAATATATAAAAATAGGTAATGTCCTTTATAAAGAAACACATTACAATTCCCTTGTACTTTATGAAGAACATAGTGGAAGTTCGTTTTTCCTTATTTTTTACTATTTTTCTAATACTTGCTTATATCCCACTGCTAGGCAAGAGGCCTCAAGTCTCCCGATTGAAAAATTGTCATTTTGCAGACATGACTTTATTACACCAAGGATCACACAAAAAAAACAAAAGATAACAATATTGTTTTGGGATTGAAAAGCCTTCGACTTTATTGATAGTACATTCATTAGCTTATACTGATATACTAAATTACTGTTATGTGTGGTCATTGTTTGTTTTTTTTAATACTTCATTCATTCATTAAAAATAACCACGAGGCGTCGGTATTCATGTGTGTAGCACGTAGACATGGACAGTGACATAACATCGTCTTTTGTACTTACTAGCGGGCGTAACTTACAATTTTGACAGAAAATAATCATAGTGGAGTCCTGATAATCCGAAATAATTGAAATCAGACTGTTTTCGGATTAACGGGTTCTGCGTATTAAGCGAAAATAATTGGAAATGAAACTATCTTTTTCGGATATGAATCGCGTATGTTTGTTTTTCAAACAATATAACGTTTCGGATTATTCACGTGTCCAATATTCACGGCTGATTTTAAAAATAAACTTATATGATTACATAATTTATTTTTATAATATCTATCTATTAAATATGAAAGAGCAAAACGTGTCTAATACAGTATTGGATGTTAAAAAAAAACTATAGTAGAGAAAACTATAAAACTTTATAAAATAAACTAAGAAAAAAAAGAATGAAAACAAAAGAACCTTAATTATTATGCAATCAACATAAAGCTATATAATTAAATCTTAGAACTCTAATAGTGTATTTGCGATGCCTAAACTAAGCAAGAAGTATTTGTTCTAACGGTCCGTTAAATTTTTTCGATTGTTTTCGGATTAAGAGGACTTAAAGTAAATGAAAAATAAGTAAGAAGTAGTTGTTCTAACTTTACGTCAAATATATTCGGTTAATTTTGGATTCAGTGGACTTTGGCTTTCCGAAATTCGGACTATCGGGACTCCACTTTATTTACATCACAATATGGAACAAGAAATGTCATTTTCTTTGTTCCGGCTCTCCTTGGAAGAATAATTGTAATGACTTCGAAGGTCAGCAATAATCTTTCGGCTGAAATTAGGAATTTCAATAATCGTGTACAATTAACAAGAATATTATTTAATTACGTCAATGATATAATATTTTAAACAATATTGAAGATTATTTTTATAAAATTGAGATATTATTTGTTTCTTAAACTACACACAGACTATTTTTTTGTCAGTGGCGTTTTATTTGGCTGCATGAATATAGTGTAAAAATTATTGCATGAGTACATAAAAATTATAAAAATTTGCATGCCGCAAGGAGAATCATAGTGCTTCAAAATGCATTATTGAAATACCTGTATAACTTGTGTATCACAAAGAAACAAATAAATTTGGATTTAATATTCTTAGGTTTTTTTCATAATTGTTAATCATTGCAAATGAAACTTTATTTTTCTTTCGGATCTAAATCACTTTTCGGGTCCGATACAGGTCCCATAGTCACGGCTGACTGAGATAAGTCATCAACCAAATCTCATATTTATGTTTTTGGCGTAAAAATATTTAATTTTCTTAAAAAAAAGTCACTTGGGCTCAATTTATATTGCGGCGCGATTTTTGTAACGATATCGTAATTAACTTTATGGTCAATTGTGAAACGTACAAACAAGATACGAGCCAAAAATCACGTCGTGCGTCTTCCGCGGAATTCTCGCGCATTCTCGAGAATGTTCGCGCATTCGCAAGAATTCTACAGCCGTCGTCGACGATGCCTGGTGTATCCGCGGGAAGTCAAACGTCGTCGTAATACTACAGCCTCAAGGCGCAGTAGCGAGAAAGCTCGCAATTGTTCGAGGATTCCCGCGATCGCGTGCGCCTTCTTGTGCAGCGAGGCAAAATTGTCGCTTCAATTCCATTATCCCCTCAATGTAAATTGAGCGTTATGGTTTTTTGTAACATACTGACAACCTCGGAGGATTACATTTATAACATCAAAAATAAGACTATTTAAACAGTGATAACTCTGTTCAGTAACTAAAGAGTCGGAGGTAGGGGTCGTCGAGAAAGACGCTTGCACGATTGAACTACCTACATTACAACCAAATATTTTTGGTAAATTTATTATGTTTTGTAAAAGTCATGGAAGAAAAGTTGTTGTTTATGATGTTAGTAATATAGTCCTGAGAGGTTGTTATTATTTTTCGAATCATTATATAGGATAATTCTTTTAAACTTTTCGTTAAGTTTTTTATCATCGAAAAAATGCATGTACAGAATTTCAAATATGTTTTTCCGTCAAAATTGTAAGTAATGTTTATTCGTGGTGTACGGGGACGGTATGTTTTACGTCAATAAATGTATGTGAATGTCTACGAGCTCAAATTACCATAAAAAAGGTCAAATAAAATTAAGCAATCATTTAGTTATTTCTCCAGACATTTTGACACACCTGAGAAGAAAGAAGAGTTGTACGCGGAATTGAAAGCAGCGGCGGAATCCGGGTGGGACTTCTCCACAAGATGGTTTATTCTCAATGGAACTAATAAAGGTACACACTTATTAGTTATTTGACCGCTTTAGTAGCAATAGAAGTCCTTATGAAAGAGTTCGTCTAGGGAACTGCCGCCTTATCTATTTCTGCTACTGCTTCTCAGATCTTTTAAAAGTTTTAAGTTGCGCTGCAACTGTTGTGGACTGGCGTGTCGCTTACCACCAGGCGCACGATTTATTCGTTCCATCACTTGATATCACAGAACAACAAATACAGTAGAAGTGGTTAGTTAGCGTCTGACGCGTGCCAACTATAGGTCTCGAAAGACCTACCTGAACTCAGACCGCCATTTTCGGTTTTTGCTAATTCTCTAAAATCCTGAAAAAATTTCTTATTGTGCTCTTTTGGAGTGCAAAAATGACAGCTGCACCAAAAATATTATTTATTTATTATTATTATTCAGTATTTCATATCATCGAATTGTCTTATTTTAACAAAATTATTAATTTTCTTTTCATCGAAATGTTTTTACTAGAAACGATAGTAAAGCTTATAATCCACGGAAGAAAAAAAACAATGGAAGTCCCATAAGCCTCCATTACTATCAGAACCGCGGTCGCCAAAACGCACACAAACAAATGATAAACACTATGTAATCTTGATTGGTCGTAGTTCCTAATTTAAAAAGACGTAACAAGTCCTGGACTGTTAATATAATTTAAACTTTACCCAGTTCTTATATCATTGAAAGTGTAAGACCTTCTTTGCAAATTACGACGTTTTGATTTTATTGAAATTTTATACAAAGTGCTGCCATCTTGCGGCCAATAGCTGGACAACGACGAATGACTAACATCTGAACGAATAGAAAGTAGTATCTCCTCGACAACAGAGGACCTTTCGCTGGTACTAGTGATGCGCACAGCGGAATTCTTGTGTTATCGATAAGCGATAATAACATTAACGGAATTTTTTTCTGTATATATCGCGCTTTGGTTTGTTTCCGTTTACTTCGGTATAGACTAGCGTTTATTATGTTGGAAATAAAAAGAAAATTACGAGACAAGTCCTTACGTGTACTTAATAGGAATTATTATTATATCTATTTTAAACTCTCGCCTCTCCCGACTCTCTTTTGATTATTATTATTATCAGGGTGGCTTCATTCAGGGCCTATGCATCTCCCTCATCACTGCGAGCATTGACTCATCTATGTAATCACCACTAATTACAAGGCAGAGCCAAGGCCTTAATAGGAAGACTCAATATATTAATATTTACAAAGCAGTACATTGCATTTTATTATATGTATAGCAATTATTATCAAGATACGATTTGCTATGTATACGAACAAAATGCTATTTAGTAGCATAGTTTAGGGGAAAATTAAAATAATTTACAAAACATGAACTAACTATAACATCATTCATCACACGACATGAGAGATATAAAGAATTTGTTTGGATCTGTTGGCATAGTTATGTTGTTAATGTTGTAATGGATGTGATAAATGGTTCAATGGTTGGATATCATACTCAAAAAAATTCAAAGTAAAAAAATTGATAAAATCGTATAATAATATGATGTTGATAGTTTCTTTACAGAGGATAGAAATGAAAGATAACGTACTTATTTAACAGTTGCCTTTTATATAATTTTAATTTTAGTTTTAGTAAATGATGTATGCGGATATTAAGGTAGCGTGCAATTACAGCTTTTATGAAATCAGTTATATGATTAGAGGTCGGATACTCTCCCAGTTGATGGCTGGAAATGGTATCGAAGATATTTGTTCCAACAAACTGTCACAAAATTTTCATTATAACTTCTTTTTGAAAGTTATTCCCACCAAAGTTTTTGACAATTTGCAATTTGGTATATTCGGCATCCAGTTTCGTCGTCCATTAGCTTCTATCCAGTTTTCTTTTCGAAAAGGATCTTGCTGGAATCTGTAAAGATTACCAAGGTATATTTCAAAATAATAATGATACTTTCATCATAATGATACTTTCGCATCATATTTTGCAAGTAAATGACGATGTCATCAACGATTGTGCCTATTGCAAATTTAAAACTTGAATAAAGGCAATATCAACAGTATCGATAATTTTATCGACACATTCTCTCTCTAAATCCGAAAGTTTTTTTTGCTACTAGCGTGGAAAGTTGAAGATGTTTTCTTACTTCTCCAAAAGACAAAAATTCGACCATACTGCATTGAGATTGTGTTTATTTTCGTTTCTTACTGAACTGACTTACCGATGATATGTAATTCCACCACGGGTAACATTTTTGGTGCCGCTATTATTTTTGCACTCCACAACAGCACAACGAGGTATTTTATTATTAACGCGTATGAGGTTAACTAGCCACTTCTACTGTATTTTCTGTTCTGTGTTATAACCCCTGCAATAAGGTCGTTTCTTTTTTGGAGAACTAAAGTAATAACTCCAATTCGTCGTCGTTCAGCAATTAACCGCTAGATGGCAGTACATTGATTGAAATTTCAATATAATATAAAAACGTCGTAATTTGCAATAATAGGTATTGATGGCATTGAACATTGAAATTAACAATCCAGAATTTGTTATTTCTTTTTAAATTTGAAACTACGACCTTTCAATATCAAGATTTTGTAGTGTTTCAAATTGAGAATGTGTGAGTTTTGGCGACAATGGCAGATAGTAATCGAGGAGTAAAGCACTCCATTGTTTTTTTTTCTTCCGTTCTTGATATCATAATAAAAAAAAACAAATAAGTCTGCGTTGAAATATTAATCCGAAGTAGCAAAATAATACCTACCAAAACAGAATACCTTCTTAGAGAAAACTCCGGCCGAGTTGAGATGAAAGGCATACGTTTTTCACTCTTATTGCATAGACATAAAGCTTGGCTATGGATAGAAAAGAGAGCCAAAGTCCTGCTTAATTGTCTGACTGTTGGATTACATACCAGAAAATCATATTGAACGTAACAAGCCTCGAAAACAATACAATCGAGAAATTAACTACTGCTACAATTTAAATGTGAACTTTAATTATTTTCTTTTCTCTGTTATCTCTTTTTTTTACTTTTGTTTATTTTCCTTTTCTTTGTTTCTTTTTCCAGTCCCGTCTTTAAAAGAGCCCGATGAAACTATGTCCAAACACTACGGCACAGATATATGTGAATATTTTAAATATTCCATGGTTTTTTTTTTAAACTCTGTGTTGGATTTATTCACTTCCATGATCATTATATTAGAAAGAGAGAGAGCATTAGATGATTGCATAGACCATTGATTCCAAATGCATATAGGTACGAAAAACGGAGAACACAAAACCGATTTTTTTTTGTTTTCCGCGTCTCCACAATTCATTGAATATGGTTTTATAGAAAGTAGATACTTGTTTTTTTTTTTAGTTGAGATTGTATTTAACACTTTTTGCTATTAGAAATTGAAATGTATATCAGTGGCGATGGGTGGATATGCCAATAGCTTTCTAGAACATAACCTTATATTTATACATACAGTCAGTTTAGTGGCAGTAGACCTCTTTGTGAAAGAGTGCATCCAGGGAAGCACTGCTACCGAACCTTACCTATTTCTGCCGCTAAACAGTTTTTTTTTATTTATTTATTTTTCAAAAAGTATACACAAGTCACACACACACAAGTTTTACACAAGTCTATCTCCCGCCAAACTGGAAACAGTTTGTTGGCGAACACGCCACAATTAAAGTTATAGTTAATGGTTAAATAGCAGTGAGAAGGTACTTCTCATGTAGGTCAAACTTACTTATTTAACAAACCAACAATAACAATTAACATAATATATAAGAAACGCAAGTTCTCAAATCAAATTTTTCATTCAATAGCGCCTTTTTTATTTTAACTTTTATAATTTGCTTACTAATTGTAGGGCTTTTTCTTAAGAACCCCATATCATTATATGAGGTACTACATATTTATGTAGCCTCCGCCCATGGTAATTCATAGCCCTAGGTTGCACGAACTTATTTTCACTAGCTCTTTTGGTCTTATATTTATTGGAAACTGGTATTTTAAATTCATTACTACAATAATTATCTAATGTAAATATAATATGCATTACTGTGTTTCCGTTTTGAAGGGTTAAGGGTGCTGGTGAAATTACAAGCACATGGGACGTTTCAACTTATTACTCAGGGGGTCGTGCGCAATGGCAGTACCGCTCAGATCTTTGCGACTTAAGCTCTGAGAGTCACTGCGACTGTCACGTCGCTTGCGTGTCGCTTACCACCAATGACGTGTTCGCCCCATCACTTAGTATTGTAAGAAAAGAAAACAACTTTACAAGCCCCTGGTCACGACTGGGGGCCTACTCTCGATCTCCGTCCGACATCCGTCCGAAACAATTACTGCCAAATAAGCAATACTCGACCAAATGATAAGACGCGTGATGCGAATGAAGCTTCATACTGGATACTTGTCTTTTAATTTTGTCGAATATTACTTATTTGACAGTAACTGTTTCGGACGGATGTCGGACGGAGATCGAGTGTAGACCCCCTGACTCAGATTGTAAAGTCGCAAACCGGTTATGTCTAATATTAATACAAACCACCCTTTGAGTTCAAAGATACTTTATTCTCGTTAAGACAATTGTCACTTACATGAGAACTTAAAAACTAATCAGTAAATTAACAATATTGCAGTCAAAGCCGTGGTACGAACTACACAATGAAATAGATAGATAGATAGATAAACACTTTATTGCTTACACACAAGAACAAGAATAGTACATAAACAACTTAAAACTAACGTGGGCAAAGGCGGTCTTATCGCTAGAGCGATCTCTTCCAGACAACCTTAGAATTAGAGGAAAACTAATCGGAGCGAGAGACGTAGTGTGCCAATTTTACAAATATAAAAAAAATACAACTGTTTACGAATTTACATTATTATTGTACAAATTTAATCTTTTTTTCAGCAGCGAATGGTCGTGAACAATATGTTTATACAATTTTGATTTAAATGAACTAAATGACTCCGCATTTTACATTTGAGGGCAGTTTGTCAAAGATTTGCACTCCCTCAATACTTATCGACTTCTTGCCGTAGTTAGTTCTGATTATGGGCAGCATTGAACGACTGGCTCTGCGGCTGATATTGTACTTACGCTCACCCTTTTTAGAAATATAGTTACAAAAGTTTAATTTAACAAAGAACATATTCCTATTTACGCATACAATTTACAAAATGAGCATTGGTTATTATGAACCTTCGCCACTGATATACATACATAGATATGGCACACTCACTGATAAAGCGACGAAATTCAAAATAAAATTAAATAATGTACGAAATGAAACTAATATGTCGTTTTTCGCTTACCTATCACAAGTCCGAAATTACATTTGCCCGAAATAACGTTCGTTCGAATTTTCGAAAGTAGAATTTTAATTTTTGTTTTATTCCAATAGTATTTGCCGTAGAAAAGAAGAGATTTTGTAAGGTTATGTCTGTTTTGTAAGCATACAAAATACCCAGAAATAATAACGGTTTCGGTTTCGGTATTATGAGAATTCAAGCTAACGTTACTTCGGGTAAAAGTAATTTCGGACGTCTAATGAATAGCTCGTTTGTATATCAAATAGAATTTTATCATATTTGGCACCAGCACCATGACTTATTTGGCACAAATATCAAAAATGACTTATCCATTTCGACAATTTATTATTAAGTGTGCAAAATGCATAGACAGTTTGTTTGATGTGTGACTATAATTTAAATTTACCTAAATAGTTAACGATATACGACACAGCACCATGAAAAATAAATTTACGGGTCAACAAACTCAGACAGCTTTGAATATTAAAATCACTTTATTTACACATCATTTAGCTTTCCTCTGAACATGATTTTTTTCAACATAGTAAAAATATCTTTGTAAGTTTACAACTAATTTTTTGAAATATATTTTTTTTATGGAGGATGAAAACATACCTTGTGGCAGCACAACGATACAGTTGTCAAAATTGTTAGGGACACCGTTTGCATCTAGAACGGTTGACGGCTTAATACAATCATCGAGTATATAACCAGAAATAGAGACGAAATAAGGGCCATATATTCCTGGTAACACTTAAGCGATACAGCTCTTATGAATATCAACTCCCGTTTGTACTGAAATATAGACAGGCCAACTACTGACCTGTGTGTACGTCTCCGTATATTCCAAAAAATATTCTGAATTTATTGTAATAAAGATAATATCTCTAACAATGCCGTGCTGTTCTATTCGGTGGTGTGGGAAAAACAGCAAAACATCTAATTACAAAACAAACGGAATCACATTTCATCGGTAATTAAATATGAAATATGTAATTTTGCAATTTTCGTCCATTATAGCAAAGCTCAAGTTAACTGGTCGATTTGAAGTGAAACAGTTGACGACACCCGTCAATTGTTTCGAACTCGGGCTAGCCAATCGGAGCGCAGTTGTCACAGTAACGATATGGCAGAATAGTTTTCAAACAAATTAAATGACTTTTCGACTCTATTTCTGGTTTTGTTCGAAATTACTATCCCAAATCCAATACCAAACATAAGCATCCACAAAAGTTGTTGAGTGTTCGACACTCGACCGAAGAAAATTGCATACACTATTTAACACATTTTTGTTTATCCCAGGTAACCTAACAAATCTGAAGACCAGGTCAATAATACCAGTGGACCTGAACGCCATAGTGTGTTGGAACGCAGAACTGATGGCCGAATTTCACACAAAACTTGGCAACGTGGACAAAGCAGAATATTACAGGAGTGTTCATGCCAGACTTATGCAGGCTATTGAAGAGGTAAGTCCAGTTTAGTTAAACTGTTTTTGGTAGAGGATAAGTTAGGCGCGATGGTACTCGCCTTTGAGCTGAAAAATGTAATTTAAGTTCTGTATATAGAACTTTAATGAATATTAGAGTACTGTACACAGAACAATAAGTAGTTTCAAAAAAGAACGTCGTACTTTTACTAATTGCAATATGAATTAGGACGCTACTCAAAGGTACTAACTACCTCCTGATTGGTTAAATTGGTTTAAAAATCTTGCACAAGGATTGTAAATCTTAATTGTAAAAAATGATTGGTTAAAATATAAGCGGTACTTGGCCAGTTCTATTATAGCTCTTTGTTTTTTTTTGTAGCGTTTTTTTGGCTTTCACCTAAATATAATGAAGAGACTGTATGGTGGATCGACATTCGTCGCCGTTTGTGACATCTAGTGAGAGATTGTTGAAAAACCTTCTCACCCCAGCCGATACCTTTATAGTGTCAGAACAGACGTAGATGTCGCTTTTCGATCAAATGGACTTTTTTTGTGTAAACATAACTTAAAAAAAAAGTTTAAAAGTCATTATTATAAAAAATCTTTAACAAAAATACATATTAGAATTTCGACAGCTCAGTAACTTGACCTGTAGCTCAGTTGGTAAGAGCAATGCTACGGTGTAGCACGGTCGTGGGTTCAAGACCCACCGGGTCGAAGAAATTTTTGTATGTTTTCGATCTTTTGTATTCATAATCATAACAAAACTAGTGGAGCTATTTCACGAAAAGTCTCAACTAATTTTTCAATTTCGTCCTTCAGGTGCTCTGGCATGAGGACGTGGGCACGTGGCTGGATTTTAGTCTAGAGTCAGGCCGTCGGAGAGACTATTTCTATCCATCGAATGTGGCTCCTCTTTGGACAGGAGGTTACGACAAAACCCGGAAAGACTACTACGTGCCCAGAGTTGTCAACTATTTGGATAAAGTCAAGGTACGTGACCAGATTTTTTTTGTTAAGTGTCTATACAACCTCAAATGTTTTTGGTTGATTCCGCACAACAGTGAAAGTGTTGAAGCAGTCATTTTGAAAAAATATATAGTCAAATTGGGTCTTAAAAATTTCCACTTTAGAAAAAAGCACAAACTCACCTCGAAATGTTACAAGAAAACCGCTGTAATGGATACTTTACATATACCAATCATATTTTTTTATCAACTGACCTATATAGAACACGTATAAGTAAGTATACGATACACATTTTTCAAATGGCTTTAATAATGTTGGTAAAAAAATTAATTCTGAAATAAAGTGTCCCTGTCGGTCGACCCAAGCAAAATGAACCGTATTAGTACGGGAAAAATTATAATTCGAGCTGAGGTAGTATAGACTATTAAGAGGTACTATCTAGCTCCTACTGTCTAGTGTTGTCTAGTTTCTTCTAATGACATGACACTATAGTCTGTATTTTTTAACCGACTTCAAAAAAGGAGGAGGTTCTCAATTCGACTATATGTTCTTTTTTTTTGTATGTATGTTACGCGATAATTCCGGTATTTGTGAACCGATTTTCATGATTCTTTTTTGTTGGAAAGGGGGTACTTCCATAGTGGTCCCATTTCATTTTGAAGAAAATCATCCACCTCGAAGGGTGGCTGTTTACGCATGAAGAATCATTTTTATAAATAGCGCCTAACTTTAATATAGGAGCAATTACTTTAATGGTTGATTTTGCTATTTCTCCAATTCAAGGCGTGTTTCTCTCAATATACTTTGAGTAGAATTCCACGTACTTTTGAGGTCGGTTTTTTTAGTACTCTGTACTGAGATTATTGAAAATAGAGTAAAATGACAGTTCATTGCACAAAATGCAATCGACTGAATGTTGGTTACTCTTATGCAATAGTGCACAGGCTCATTTGAATTGTAAATTTGTGTAAGTCCATACATACGTACACTGCATTTAGAACTATGTCTTTTAAAAATGCAACGGAACGGAATTTGAAAGTTTTTCATTTTAATTGGAAATGGATAATCGAATTCGCCATAAAGGACCCTTATTAAAACGTATATTAATAAAAAATTATTTCAATAGTATACTTTTAAGTAATTAACATTACGTAGTTGCTTACCGTAAAATTATAATTAAATTTTTGAAAATGGTTCTAAATGCATGATAATATTTTCAGCTAATAGACAACATTTCGAACTACCTATTTAAAATATTATTAAGTACTTAAATCCAAACGACATAGATTAATTATTAAAAAAACATATCACAAGTTTCCCACGATAAACAGCGCCAAAACCCAGAAGTTAATATAAACACTTTCTGGTGTGCCATTTTTTCAACTTCTTACGAATATAGTACAAATCGTCACCTCGTATGTGGTTTTTCAAGACGAAGATAAAAATATGGTGTAAAATGTAGTAAACGCAATAATGTTTGTAGTTAGCATTTTAATTAATTTAATTAAATAACTTTTAATTACTATATTGCTTTAATAATATATTTGACTAAGAAGTTTATTCTGTTTTTCTTCAACAAAAATCTGTAACAATGAACTATGTGAAAACGGGTATGCGAGGTTCTCACTCTCACCTAAGGCGACGAAATCGACTTGGATCGTATTACTGCGATATTGTTCTGTTTACATAGACTTTCAATGGTCAATGGCGAGGCGATTGTCGCCCACGTTGAGCTATAACCACGAAAGTTTACATGAAGAAACTTTTTCAATTCTTCCTATAATCGTATCAAAGTCTTTGTTTCGTAGGTAAGCAAATTACACTTGAAACCGTCATACTGATTAAACTCTACTGCTTTTTCGTAAGGCAGATTCCCCAGAGAAGAATGAGCAAGAAACTCTTGGAGTTGCTCTTTGTAAATAAGCATTTGAATACATTTATCATTACAATATTTAATTTAACATCCTAGATCGCGAATAACTGAAAGAACTAAACGGGTCACTACCACGGATTTTTGTCATCCAAGTACACAGAAGTTGTATAATATAACCTTTAGTATAAAGGTTTTTGTTTCACAATAGTTTTAAGCCTCGTAAATAGCAAATTTTGAAAAAATTTTATCTTCAGAAAGTCTCCATCATAAATGGCCCTTGTGAAATTAAAAACATAGTTTTTGTCATAATTGTTAACACAAATAATAATAATAAATGTAACTTAATAAAAATTCAAATTGTTAAAATAAAATAATTTGTAAAACGTATGTAGCGCAAATTGGAATGTTCTTTGTTAAATTAAAAATAAGGTATTTAATTAATAACTTTTGTAAGTATAGTGAAAAAAATAGGGTGGTTTGCATTAATATTAGACATAACTGGTTGATGACTGTACCACCTCAGTCAACCGTGACCATGGGACCTGTAAAGGGCCCGAAACGTTGGTTGTTTGAAAAACAAATAAACGCGATTTAAATCCGGAAAAATTGTTACATTTCCTATGTGTAACAATCGTGAAAACCTAAGAACTCAATATAAATTAATGCTTACTATGCAAAAATGAAAATCGTAGCCATTGATATAACAAAGTAATAACGTTAAATCCCTCTCCCGTAAAATATGGTTTAGTGCACATATGCGCCCTCCACCAATGCTACAGACGCGTATTGTACTATCCTCGACGTGATACCGTTCTGACGCATCACGACACGACACGTCAGACAAAAGTAAATCCAGTTTTAAAAACATTTTTTTATTTTTTTTATTTAATAAAGCCGTTCTCCTACTGAGTTTTTAATTCATTTATTCAAAAAAAGTTTATACATTTACAACAGTACATCTCCCGTCAAACTGGAAACAGTTTGTTGGCGAGCACGCTCTCACACATTATATGTTAATTCTTAATTAATGAATTAATAGCGCACAATAAAAACAACAAACAACTAATATAATTAATATAACTAAACTTAGACTTAACTTCTACTAACTATCCTAATAATATATTTTTTAATTTAGATTTTAAAATTAGAACACTACTTACTGGATTTTTCCTAAGGAAACCTATATTATTAAAAATATGTGGTACCAGATATTTGTTTAGCCTTTGTCCGTAATAATTGACAGTCCGAGGTTGCACAAACTTTCCTTCACGAACCCTCCTAGTCCTATATTTGTTATATACCGGTATTTTAAATTTGTCACTGAAATAATTATCAATTATGATTTGGTAGTTTGGTTTCAAATCTGCAGGTAATATTTTAAGAATGCTGTACAATTTACTATAATCCCCTTTGCAGTCACGTTTTATTGAGGAACTTACTAAATATTTCAATAAACTTAACAAAGTTGATACATGTAAATGTTATAATGTCTAGGTGGACATCTTTGAAGGCGGAATACCTACCACATTCGAGCACTCGGGAGAGCAATGGGATTACCCAAACGCGTGGCCCCCACTACAGTACATAGTGATGACCGGCTTGGCAGAAAGCGGGATAGCAGAAGCGACCAGATTGGGACAAGAACTCGCTACTAAATGGGTTAGGTCCAATTTCGAAGTGTGGAAGAAAAAACGAGCTATGTTGGAAAAGGT